TTATATTTACCATTGAAAGTAGGCATAGTAAATTTAATTTTAGCACTAGAGTGGTCATAATCTCAAACATCATACATGTGTGGACCTCGTGCCATACCTTGACGGTTGAAACGTAGTTGTCGATGAGCACGGTCATTGTGGTGGTTGACCATTTGGTCGTCTTCGGTGTCACCAGAATAATCCTCGTAGTTGTCCCCATGTCGCTCGTGGACGCGAGTAGGAATTTGTGGGTGCTGGTTTATGGTGGCAGCATCGGTGGCAGTAGCGGGGTGCTGTGGATGACCCATGGGCACACGTCGAGCTCACGAAGTAGCGACAACACCCGTGGAATTGTGAGGAACATCGTTATTGTTGACGGGAGGTGTAGTCCGCAGCTCGTCCAAACGTAACAAGATGTCCTGTAGTTGTGTGTTGGCAACACCTTGTGCACCCTCGATGGCCTTGAGCCTCTCTTCTGTCACAATCTGAGCACCCTCAAGTTGGGCGAGACGCTCGTTGGTGACTTTAACATCCGCGGTGAGTCCCTCAAGTGTGGGCTGATCCTGTGCCATTGTTAGCGAAAGAGAAAAAACAATGTATAATCTCTATCAACTAACAGGATGTGGTGGACAAAATTCGCTCACACTCAAACTTAGTATCAAATTCTTACTTGTTCTTACCAATGCAACAGGTAATGATCGACGCGTTGGTGTTGGCTTCAAACGACCGATGAAGATTGGATGGAGCGATAACCAGGAATCAGTAGTGTCGGGACCTGTACTTATTGGTAGGAAAAAGTGTAGCTTGGCAAAGGTTTCTCAACTCACAATATTAGTGGCACAATTTAGCAAAAAGCAATCCAAGTTGAATAATTGCTCAAACTCCTAACTAGTGCTGGCAGTTGACTAGCAAGAGATAAAACAATCTAAGCCCAGATACTGAATCAAATGAGTGGACGCTGATGAAAATATGAATGCTCTAAATAGCTAGATATAAGTGAGGTATGGCAGTATATGGAAACCTAAAGCAGAAAAATGTCCAGCAGATATCACGTATACGAACAAAGTAAAGTTTTTGGACAATAAAAGATATTCCAAAAGATGCTAACCGGCCTGAACTTTTTTGTCTTACTTTTTCTTCTCTATTTCTTTCAAATTTTTTTCTCTTTTTTTCTTGCTCTTTCCTTTTTTTTTGCTCTTTCTTCTCTTTTTTTCGTTTGACCAGGCGAGTTACCAACAAGTATACACACGTAACAAGAGGATAACAGGATTAAACCAGAGTGTGCTACTAGAAGCGACCTGATTGTACTACTGGAGATATAGGAGATTAATGAAGTGTTAGATGCGTAGGTAGGCAACTCCAAACGTTTAACAGTAGCACTGGCTAGCGATGCACAAAGCAAATAGCAGTTAAGCGGCGCCAAGGAGCAGAGGGAGCAGCTGCGCACAGGTGGGCGTGTGGGGTCGGCGTAATTTGCTGAGGCGTACACACGGTGGCAGATGGATAGACTGATGTGTGATGAAAAACAAGTTGTTGGCAGAAAGCTAGGGTGACGCGCAAGCAGAAAAGATATGAACAGAAAAACTTCTCGGGATGTTCCCTGGCTAGTGGCCGGAATCTAGGGCGTGCGCGTGGCAGCAGCGGAGCAATTTCTAAGGCAGATGGGACGTGGTGTATAGGTGCAGTTGGCGCGTGTGCCACAAACATGTAAACTTGGCAAATCAGGTACACGGTGCACAGCGGATGGATTAATGTGGCGGAAAATATGATGGACAAAAACAAAGTCGATTTAGTAGATAATTTGCTCTCGGACTAATCTAGACCAGCACTAGTATTAGATGAATGCAACCAAAAATTCAACTACATAAATACTAGATGCAAAAATTGCTAGAGGCTAAAAAGGTTGGTGCAGCGGATGAACTAATCTAATTTTGGCTTTTTGTGGGTTGTAGGACTAGAATTAATCTAATCTAAGAAAACTGTAAATCTCTCGCCGATGAACCTGAAAACTAATACCACTTGATGTGAACTGGGGCCCGATCTTTCGATGAGAGGGAGGTAACTACGATTTTTGGGTGGGATTTGACCCTCACGATCCGGCTACCAACCGTACAGGAAGAACCGTACACGACTGATATCCACGGCAATCGCTGAACCAACTCCACGGTGTTTTCGACCGAACCAACGGCGCGATCGACCTATCCACGAAGGATTTTTCCTGCAAGCAAATCGAAGAACATGCAAGAAAATAATAGCCAAGCAATCTCAAAATTGCGAATATGCTAGATGGGATTAATCTCACAAGATGGGGTTCCGATAGGATGTCTTGACGGTCGCACTAGCCGCTACAAACGAAGACAAATAAAAGTAGCAATATAGCTAAACTTCTCTAAACAAAAACCGAGTCTAAACCGTAACAAAGGCTAAGTATTTATTGTAGATGGCGCCGCCGTTGACGATTGGTACTGCGCGCAGTCGTGCCCAATATGGACAGGTACGTACGGTCGAAGGAATCACCAGCCAGCCCACAAGGTGACCGAATCCCTTCATTATTAATTAATGAGATGGGCTGAGATGGGCTGGTGTGTACGTGGCTCTAGTCCATTAAGCCCGGTCCTCTTTCTCTTGTCTTGTATTTGGAACATTGAGCACGTAGCATGCAATATGTATGCCTCGGTTGATTGTGTGCATGCATCTAAATCCTTGTAATCTTCTCTTGTCCTCTCTTCAACACCTTTGTTCCTGAGTACAAGCAGATCATAACATGAAGGCAGTATCAACTTCTTATTAGTTAAATCACATGCACCGAGGAACAAAAGTACCTGGTCTTTTATTTGCCGTGAAATATTCACAGACGTTTTTATGATAGCTATGTCCGCATCAATGGGCACGCCAGGACTCCATTGCGATGGAGAAGGCGCGCCGGGAGAAGGAGAAGGACCGCCAGCGCGCCGCCCTGTGCCGCTTCGAGGAGCGCCGACGCGGCCGCGTTGAAGACGGGGTCGTCATCTTATGCGACAGCGACGACGACGACGACGCGCCGCCGCCAGTCCGCCATGGTGACGCCGGGCAGGGGTCCAGCAGGGGCGCCCGCGTCAAGGAGGAGAAGGCCGCCGACGACGATGGCGGCGACGGCGGCGACGACTTCAGCCCTTTTCTTTTTCAGATTAGGTTAATGTAATGAAATTGCACGAATTTCACCGAAATTTGCCATGTTTGGCCAAAATTTAACTAGTTTTTATCATAACTTCGCCGAACGGTCCTTTGTTTTTTTTAATACGCGCTTGGGGGTGCCCTGGGGGCCGACGGCTGGGGACCGACTCGCCCCTAGGGCCATTTTTTGCACCGACTCACCCCCAGGCGGCGCTTTTAGACGCCCCCTGAGGGGCCAACGGCTGGAGATGCCATAACAACTCCAACGCCGAGTAGCTAGGCCACAGCCGACAGAATCAAGAAGTAGGTGGTGCTGCGAGTGGGGCGGATGAGGAGGATGGTCGTGGAAGGAGCACCGGTGGCTAGCGATACAGCGAGCAGAGGAGTTGCGCCTCCATGGGCGAGATCCCGGGGGCGCCGAGGAGCGTCGTCGTGGACGGGCAGGAGAGGGTAACGGGGACGGGGCACCGGAGCTTCCGCGACAGAGGGAGCAGAAGAGTAGCGGCGGCGGCAGCGGCGGCGACGACAACAACGAGTGAGCTAGCGTTTCATTTGCTACAAGTGTTTCTTTGATCTTTGTCAAAACTGGATACCATCCTATTCTGGAAAGGATAGGGCTATTATTTCTATTGGTGCTGCTGCTTTGATATGGACAATTTGGAAAACAAGGAACAAATCCTGTTTTCAACGTGTTTTCCTTTCAAATCCTATCAATGTAATATTTACCCTGTGTTCTTTGTTGGATTCATGGATGATTCTACAGAGAAAAGGTGTGCAAAAAATGCTTAGGGAGGTTTCCAAGAGGCTATCTCGGGTAGCAAATGAAGTCTACAGAAGAACATATGGGTGGAATCCTTCTGCTCTAAGACTGGGTTTTGTGTCTGCCTGAAATTGGGCGGTTCTGTAGTATGTTCTGGTTTTTAGACTTGCCTATTGTTTTGGCTGATGTGCAAATTGTAAAAGATGTTTAAAAGTCTATTCTCTCTCCGGTAGTGGGTGATTTGGCATCCTATAGATATGGTTATATGTCTAGAATGTAGGTTGCTTATCAGTTGATGAGGTGATGCATCAGGTCTGATGGAAAAAAGTGGTGTGGTGGTTGTATCTAGACTTATATTTTCTTAATTAAAATGGGGGCCATGTGACCCTTTTATCGAAAAAAAAGCTAGCATGGTGCCTGCGAAGGAAAAGCGATTAGGGATTTGTAAACAGGAAGGCTTCAAGTCGGAAATATAACGGGATTTACGGTTGCTTTGAGATTCGTTTCTTGAGGTGTCAGGCGCCGGAGCGGGTCTTATGTTCGGGTGCGTGCGACCCGGTCGTATAAGATTTTTTTTCCTAAAAAGGCTAATGGGGGCAATAATTTTCTTTTCTTTCTTGGAGTAAATGCATTCAGCAGAAAAGCGGTTTTTGAGAGAAAAAAATCCAGTTAGTGGAAAGAAGAGGCAACCTGCTATAGCAGGTTAAGGTCCGCATGGACATATGTTAGGCTCAACATATTTAATAATAAGAAAAAATTCTGTCAACGGTCGACTTCGGACTATAGTCTAGAAACATACCTAAGGGAAGAAAGCATATGCCAGGATTCGCTATTCTTAATTAGCTCCTTGATGATAAGTTATAACAGCTTAAAAGAGAACTCACTTAAAATGATTTGGATGATTAGGCATTTGTAGATTTACATTACATTATCAGTATCCAAGGGACGGAATATGAAACCCATTTCCTCTGCAGATGCTTTTCAGGGACTTGAATGGATAAAGCGTTATCAGATAATCAAGGGAATATGTGAGGGCTTACTTCATCTTCACCAGAAGCGCATACTCCACTTAGATCTGAAGCCTGCTAATATATTACTAGATGAACACATGGTATCCAAAATTGCTGATTTTGGTCTATCAAGGTGCCTTGATAAAGAGCAAACCCGGGCTTCTACTGTGAACCTATGTGTATCGCTGTAAGCCAGTCGCTTGGAAACTCTTCTTCGTTTGGCACAAATATATATTTGTGTGCAGATTCATTGACCAGGATTTAAGATTCTTCTCATAGGGGATATTCTGCACCAGAATCCTTCGCCGGGAAATTCACATTCGCGTCAGACATCTACAGCCTTGGTGTTATCATCGTGGAGATACTTACAGGACAGAAGGGGTATCCAGAAGAGGAGGATGTAAGAACAATTCAAGCATTTGCTCCATGTTAAAGAATAAATTTTCAATAACTAAATATCTTGCATTCTAGTTTACCTTATAGAAATTGCATAAATATCTACAATATAAAAGGAGAAATTGTAAAAATCATGTCTTGAACAAGCATGTTATAGTCTAAAACATCCTCTATTTTTGTAGCACCCACCTTTAGTAACACATTGCTTGCTTTATCAACACAAATTAAAATTGCATGTATGCCTTGTTGGCCTGAGATGTTGCACTGCAACTGCATTTGTAGAATCCGTCTTACACTTTTCACCTCACTAGTCCACCTAAAAGATCAAACTTATGAGGAAATGTGGAAATTGCTTCTATATATGTCAACACTTCTCCTCACTTGTGGATCTCTTAGGTCTAATGTGTACTTAAAGTAGGATACATTTATTTTAAATTGGTAGCCCATTCTTGAACTCGATATCTCTTTACACGGGTACCTTGTTGTGTTCCGTATTTTGCCTCGCTTTTTTTTAAAAGGAGGATGATCCCCGGCCTCTGCATCTCGGAGATGCATGCGGCCATTTTATTAATTATTCTCGAGGACCTTACAAAGTAGAACAATAATATGTCTGAATCCGCCATCTTGGCAACATTTGCCGCTACTCCTATCCAAATGATGACGGGATGCAAGTTGGGCCACATACCCAGACCTCTCACATAAGCCTAACATCTAAAGCCGGAGGTCCGGACCGAGCCATCTGTCAGGTCCGGGGCTCAAACCGGTCCGACGTACTCACATGTGTCATCGCCGCCGTCTTCCACTGGTCCATCTTCAAAGCAGATTGAGGTGATAACCTTGGCAGGTTCTCCGCCATCGACGCCACCACGACGCCAAACGACGACCTCCACTAACGCGAGCCTTGGCAGGTCCTCCGCCATTGACGCCACCACGACGCCAACTGACGATCTCCACCTACGTGATTCCATCTCCAAGCAACGAACGTAAATCCATGCTAAGATAGGGCCGCACCACCGCCGTCGTCCACCACCCGTGAGCAATCTACACTAGTAATATCGAGATAATGAGGACTACTCTCCCCGCTCCCGTGAGCGAGGTAAATTTAATTTTAGCACTAGAGTGGTCATAATCTCAAACATCATACCTGTGTGGACCTCGTGCCATACCTTGACGGTTGAAACGTAGTTGTCGATGAGCACGGTCATTGTGGTGGTTGACCATTTGGTCGTCTTCGGTGTCACCAGAATAATCCTCGTAGTTGTCCCCATGTCGCTCGTGGACGCGAGGAGGAATTTGTGGGTGCTGGTTTATGGTGGCAGCATCGGTGGCAGTAGCGGGGTGCTGTGGATGACCCATGGGCACACGTCGAGCTCACGAAGTAGCGACAACACCCGTGGAATTGTGAGGAACATCGTTATTGTTGACGGGAGGTGTAGTCCGCAGCTTGTCCAAACGTAACAAGATGTCCTGTAGTTGTGTGTTGGCAACACCTTGTGCATCCTCGATGGCCTTGAGCCTCTCTTCTGTCACAATCTGAGCACCCTCAAGTTGGGCGAGACGCTCGCTGGTGACTTTAACATCCGCGGTGAGTCCCTCAAGTGTGGGCTGATCCTGTGCCATTGTTAGCGAAAGAGAAAAAACAATGTATAATCTCTATCAACTAACAGGATGTGGTGGACAAAATTCGCTCACACTCAAACTTAGTATCAAATTCTTACTTGTTCTTACCAATGCAACAGGTAATGATCGACGCGTTGGTGTTGGCTTCAAACGACCGATGAAGATTGGATGGAGCGATAACCAGGAATCAGTAGTGTCGGGACCTGTACTTATTGGTAGGAAAAAGTGTAGCTTGGCAAAGGTTTCTCAACTCACAATATTAGTGGCACAATTTAGCAAAAAGCAATCCAAGTTGAATAATTGCTCAAACTCCTAACTAGTGCTGGCAGTTGACTAGCAAGAGATAAAACAATCTAAGCCCAGATACTGAATCAAATGAGTGGACGCTGATGAAAATATGAATGCTCTAAATAGCTAGATATAAGTGAGGTATGGCAGTATATGGAAACCTAAAGCAGAAAAATGTCCAGCAGATATCACGTATACGAACAAAGTAAAGTTTTTGGACAATAAAAGATATTCCAAAAGATGCTAACCGGCCTGAACTTTTTTGTCTTACTTTTTCTTCTCTGTTTCTTTCAAATTTTTTTCTCTTTTTTTCTTGCTCTTTCCTTTTTTTTTGCTCTTTCTTCTCTTTTTTTCGTTTGACCAGGCGAGTTACCAACAAGTATACACACGTAACAAGAGGATAACAGGATTAAACCAGAGTGTGCTACTAGAAGCGACCTGATTGTACTACTGGAGATATAGGAGATTAATGAAGTGTTAGATGCGTAGGTAGGCAACTCCAAACGTTTAACAGTAGCACTGGCTAGCGATGCACAAAGCAAATAGCAGTTAAGCACTAGAGTGGTCATAATCTCAAACATCATACCTGTGTGGACCTCGTGCCATACCTTGACGGTTGAAACGTAGTTGTCGATGAGCACGGTCATTGTGGTGGTTGACCATTTGGTCGTCTTCGGTGTTACCAGAATAATCCTCGTAGTTGTCCCCATGTCGCTCGTGGACGCGAGGAGGAATTTGTGGGTGCTGGTTTATGGTGGCAGCATCGGTGGCAGTAGCGGGGTGCTGTGGATGACCCATGGGCACACGTCGAGCTCACGAAGTAGCGACAACACCTGTGGAATTGTGAGGAACATCGTTATTGTTGACGGGAGGTGTAGTCCGCAGCTCGTCCAAACGTGATGTATAGGTGCAGTTGGCGCGTGTGCCACAAACACGTAAACTTGGCAAATCAGGTACACGGTGCGCAGCGGATGGATTAATGTGGCGGAAAATATGATGGACAAAAACAAAGTCGATCTAGTAGATAATTTGCTCTCGGACTAATCTAGACCAGCACTAGTATTAGATGAATGCAACCAAAAATTCAACTACATAACTACTACATGCAAAAATTGCTAGAGGCTAAAAAGGTTGGTGCAGCGGATGAACTAATCTAATTTTTTTTGGCTTTTTGTGGGTTGTAGGACTAGAATTAATCTAATCTAAGAAAACTGTAAATCTCTCGCCGATGAACCTGAAAACTAATACCACTTGATGTGAACTGGGGCCCGATCTTTCGATGAGAGGGAGGTAACTACGATTTTTGGGTGGGATTTGACCCTCATGATCCGGCTACCAACCGTACAGGAAGAACCGTACACGACTGATATCCACGGCAATCGCTGAACCAACTCCACGGTGTTTTCGACCGAACCAACGGCACGATCGACCTATCCACGAAGGATTTTTCCTGCAAGCAAATCGAAGAACATGCAAGAAAATAATAGCCAAGCAATCTCAAAATTGCGAATATGCTAGATGAGATTAATCTCACAAGATGGGGTTCCGATAGGATGTCTTGACGGTCGCACTAGCCGCTACAAGCGAAGACGAATAAAAGTAGCAATATAGCTAAACTTCTCTAAACAGAAACCGAGTCTAAACCGTAACAAAGGCTAAGTATTTATTGTAGATGGCGCCGCCGTTGACGGTTGGTACTGCGCGCAGTCGTGCCCAATATGGACAGCTACGTACGGTCGAAGGAATCACCAGCCAGCCCACAAGGTGACCGAATTCCTTCATTATTAATTAATGAGATGGGCTGAGATGGGCTGGTGTGTACGTGGCTCTAGTCCATTAAGGCCGGTCCTCTTATTCTCAAAAAAAAAAAAAAGCCCGGTCCTCTTTCTCTTGTCTTGTATTTGGAACATTGAGCACGTAGCATGCAATATGTATGCCTCGGTTGATTGTGTGCATGCATCTAAATCCTTGTGATCTTCTCTTGTCCTCTCTTCAACACCTTTGTTCCTGAGTACAAGCAGATCATAACATGAAGGCAGTATCAACTTCTTATTAGTTAAATCACATGCACCGAGGAACAAAAGTACCTGGTCTTTTATTTGCCGTGAAATATTCACAGACGTTTTTATGATAGCTATGTCCGCATCAATGGGCACGCCAGGACTCCATTGCGATGAAGAAGGCGCGCCGGGAGAAGGAGAAGGAGCGCCAGCGCGCCGCCCTGTGCCGCTTCGAGGAGCGCCGACGCGGCCGCGTTGAAGACGGGGTCGTCGTCTTATGCGACAGCGACGACGACGACGACGCGCCGCCGCCAGTCCGCCATGGTGACGCCGGGCAGGGGTCCAGCAGGGGCGCCCGCGTCAAGGAGGAGAAGGCCGCCGACAACGATGGCGGCGACGGCGGCGACGACTTCAGCCCTTTTCTTTTTCAGATTAGGCTAATGTAATGAAATTGCATGAATTTCACCGAAATTTGCCATGTTTGGCCGAAATTTAACTAGTTTTTATCATAACTTCGCCGAACGGTCCTTTGTTTTTTTTAATACGCGCTTGGGGGTGCCCTGGGGGCCGACGGCTGGGGACCGACTCGCCCCTAGGGCCATTTTTTGCGCCGACTCACCCCCAGGCGGCGCTTTTAGACGCCCCCTGGGGGGCCAACGGCTAGAGATGCCCTAACAACTCCAACGCCGAGTAGCTAGGCCACAGCCGACAGAATCAAGCAGTAGGTGGTGCTGCGAGTGGGGCGGATGAGGAGGATGGTCGTGGAAGGAGCACCGGTGGCTAGCGATACAGCGAGCAGAGGAGTTGCGCCTCCATGGGCGAGATCCCGGGGGCGCCGAGGAGCGTCGTCGTGGACGGGCAGGAGAGGGTAACGGGGACGGGGCACCGGAGCTTCCGCGACAGAGGGAGCAGAAGAGTAGCGGCGGCGGCAGCGGCGGCGACGACAACAACGAGTGAGCTAGCGTTTCATTTGCTACAAGTGTTTCTTTGATCTTTGTCAAAACTGGATACCATCCTATTCTGAAAAGGATAGGGCTATTATTTCTATTGGTGCTGCTGCTTTGATATGGACAATTTGGAAAACAAGGAACAAATCCTGTTTTCAACGTGTTTTCCTTTCAAATCCTATCAATGTAATATTTACCCTGTGTTCTTTGTTGGATTCATGGATGATTCTACAGAGAAAAGGTGTGCAAAAAATGCTTAGGGAGGTTTCCAAGAGGCTATCTCGGGTAGCAAATGAAGTCTACAGAAGAACATATGGGTGGAATCCTTCTGCTCTAAGACTGGGTTTTGTGTCTGCCTGAAATTGGGCGGTTCTGTAGTATGTTCTGGTTTTTAGACTTGCCTATTGTTTTGGCTGATGTGCAAATTGTAAAAGATGTTTAAAAGTCTGTTCTCTCTCCGGTAGTGGGTGATTTGGCATCCTATAGATATGGTTATATGTCTAGAATGTAGGTTGCTTATCAGTTGATGAGGTGATGCATCAGGTCTGATGGAAAAAAGTGGTGCGGTGGTTGTATCTAGACTTATATTTTCTTAATTAAAATGGGGGCCATGTGACCCTTTTATCGAAAAAAAAAGCTAGCATGGTGCCTGCGAAGGAAAAGCGATTAGGGATTTGTAAACAGGAAGGCTTCAAGTCGGAAATATAACGGGATTTACGGTTGCTTTGAGATTCGTTTCTTGAGGTGTCAGGCGCCAGAGCGGGTCTTATGTTCGGGTGCGTGCGACCCGGTCGTATAAGATTTTTTTTCCTAAAAAGGCTAATGGGGGCAATAATTTTCTTTTCTTTCTTGGAGTAAATGCATTCAGCAGAAAAGCGGTTTTTGAGAGAAAAAAATCCAGTTAGTGGAAAGAAGAGGCAACCTGCTATAGCAGGTTAAGGTCCGCATGGACATATGTTAGGCTCAACATATTTAATAATAAGAAAAAATTCTGTCAACGGTCGACTTCGGACTATAGTCTAGAAACATACCTAAGGGAAGAAAGCATATGCCAGGATTCGCTATTCTTAATTAGCTCCTTGATGATAAGTTATAACAGCTTAAAAGAGAACTCACTTAAAATGATTTGGATGATTAGGCATTTGTAGATTTACATTACATTATCAGTATCCAAGGGACGGAATATGAAACCCATTTCCTCTGCAGATGCTTTTCAGGGACTTGAATGGATAAAGCGTTATCAGATAATCAAGGGAATATGTGAGGGCTTACTTCATCTTCACCAGAAGCGCATACTCCACTTAGATCTGAAGCCTGCTAATATATTACTAGATGAACACATGGTATCCAAAATTGCTGATTTTGGTCTATCAAGGTGCCTTGATAAAGAGCAAACCCGGGCTTCTACTGTGAACCTATGTGTATCGCTGTAAGCCAGTCGCTTGGAAACTCTTCTTCGTTTGGCACAAATATATATTTGTGTGCAGATTCATTGACCAGGATTTAAGATTCTTCTCATAGGGGATATTCTGCACCAGAATCCTTCGCCGGGAAATTCACATTCGCGTCAGACATCTACAGCCTTGGTGTTATCATCGTGGAGATACTTACAGGACAGAAGGGGTATCCAGAAGAGGAGGATGTAAGAACAATTCAAGCATTTGCTCCATGTTAAAGAATAAATTTTCAATAACTAAATATCTTGCATTCTAGTTTACCTTATAGAAATTGCATAAATATCTACAATATAAAAGGAGAAATTGTAAAAATCATGTCTTGAACAAGCATGTTATAGTCTAAAACATCCTCTATTTTTGTAGCACCCACCTTTAGTAACACATTGCTTGCTTTATCAACACAAATTAAAATTGCATGTATGCCTTGTTGGCCTGAGATGTTGCACTGCAACCGCATTTGTAGAATCCGTCTTACACTTTTCACCTCACTAGTCCACCTAAAAGATCAAACTTATGAGGAAATGTGGAAATTGCTTCTATATATGTCAACACTTCTCCTCACTTGTGGATCTCTTAGGTCTAATGTGTACTTAAAGTAGGATACATTTATTTTAAATTGGTAGCCCATTCTTGAACTCGATATCTCTTTACACGGGTACCTTGTTGTGTTCCGTATTTTGCCTCGCTTTTTTTAGAAGGAGGATGATCCCCGGCCTCTGCATCTCGGAGATGCATGCGGCCATTTTATTAATTATTCTCGAGGACCTTACAAAGTAGAACAATAATATGTCTGAATCCGCCATCTTGGCAACATTTGCCGCTACTCCTATCCAAATGATGACGGGATGCAAGCTGGGCCACATACCCAGACCTCTCACATAAGCCTAACATCTAAAGCCGGAGGTCCGGACCGAGCCATCTGTCAGGTCCGGGGCTCAAACCAGTCCGACGTACTCACATGTGTCATCGCCGCCGTCTTCCACTGGTCCATCTTCAAAGCAGATTGAGGTGATAACCTTGGCAGGTTCTCCGCCATCGACGCCACCACGACGCCAAACGACGACCTCCACTAACGCGAGCCTTGGCAGGTCCTCCGCCATCGACGCCACCACGACGCCAACTGACGATCTCCACCTACGTGATTCCATCTCCAAGCAACGAACGTAAATCCATGCTAAGATAGGGCCGCACCACCGCCGTCGTCCACCACCCACAAGCGCCACCCAACCCCAAGGTTCCCAAAGCGGCGCCTTCAAGAAGGGAACGGCGCCGTGAGCGCCTCCGCCACCCAACAAAGTTAGGGCTTTTGCCCGGGATACCTAGGGAAAGGTGAAGTGAGGAGATCAGTCCATACAGACGCCTCCAAGGAGGGGAACGACGCCCTCAGGCGTCGCCGTCGGTGCGGCCGGTCAAGGCCGGCTAGGGATTTCGCCCGAACTAGATCCCTGCCACCAGTAGCGCCTCCTGTACAGAATCGGCGACCAAGAGGAAGCGCGGCCCGATTAAGCTGACCCGCACGCCGAACAGGGGAGGAGGGGAGGCGCCAGATCATGCGCACCGGTCGCCACAGAAACCGCCGTCGGCCGCCAACGACCACCGGATCCCGCCGCCCGCGCGGCCGGGACACCAGATCCACCGCCCGCATGGCTGCTAGCTGGCCGTACCTTGCGAATGGAGCCGCCACTCCAGATCCGAGGTTCCCCACACAGAGGCAGGGCTACCGAGGCCCCGCCGCCACCATCCTTGGCGCCCCGGGCTTGCCCGGCGGCTGCCTCAGGTGGCGGCGAGGAGGTGGGACGAGGTGGGGAGGAGGCTGCTGCGATGCGGCTAGGGTTCCCCCTCCGCCGCCGGGGAAGGCGACGCGGGGTCGCGTGAGGAGGGCGTACGCCAAAAGATCACTGAACCCAACCAAATATCATCCCCCTCGCCTCGCTTTATATATAAAGCACCGATCAAACAATCACCCAGTACAAACGCACGCCACCACAACACACGCACACACCCAGGACATGATACATAGGCGCTGAGCGCAGCAACACCACCCCTACCACTACCGCCACGAAGAGATGAAGCCACATATGACGACACCGGAGCGCCGCCACCGCCCGATCCAAAGATAAGAGTTTCCCCTGGAGCCGCATGACGGGCAATGAGAGCCGCGACGACGCCTTCAAGAAGGGAACAAGCTTCGTCGCCGCTGGTTCGTCCGAAGAAAGAACAGGTTTTCACCCCGACCAACACTCACCGCCACCCAATGCCACACCCCGGCTACCATGCCTCCCACACGGCCATGGCCAGCGGGCAGCACTAAGCCACACACTCTACCCACGAGCACCGCGCTACCACTACCAGGGCTGCCACCCTGGCTTCCAAGACCTAGAAACCAAACCACCTCACTCGAGACCCGCCGCTAACCCAACCAAATAGACAAGCGGAAAGGTCCCACCTTTCGCACCCCTGGGCGACCCCTAGCGTCGAGACCCAATAGGCCGGCCAGAACTGGCATCCATCGGCCCGTCCTGCAGCCCCGAGCATGAGACGAGCTTAGTCCTGTGACACCGTGAGGGGGACGAGGTCAGTGCTGTTGCACCGTGCACGAGACGAGCTCGGTCCTGCCGCACCGAGCGCGAGACAAGCGATGGACCGCGGCTTGAAGAGGGTCAGCACTTCGATGGAAGTAGTGACCGGGCAACGAGGAGATGGGGCGAAGGTCGACACGATCCGAACGCGGACGAGCCGACGCCAAAGAAGTCGGCCGCCACCGCAGTCAGAGTCGCCAAGCCACCATGAAGCCGCCACAAAACCGGGAGGCCACCACCAACGCCGGACCTCCCTGCGCCACCGCCCACGGCCAGAGCAATGGCCATGCCCGGCCGCTGCCCACCTGCGTCGCCCGGTGAGCTCCAAGCGTCAGAGCCACCGGACACGCACCACCGATGCCACACGCCGGAGCGCCAACCACCACCACAGAACATGCGCGTCCACGCCCTGGCCAACACCACCGGAAGCCCCACCACCCCACCGGAGCAGCATATAGCCACCGGCGGCACCACCACCACCTTAGCAGGGCTACCAGCCTTCCCCACCACCACCAACCAGATCTGGGCAGAGCCACCCAGATCCGCCGCCAGAGCAACCCGCCTCCCTGGAGCCCCACAAGCCGTCGCTGGAGGGGGGAGGGAGGAGAGGGGGCCACTCCTTCAAGCCATCACGATGTTGGGGAGGGGGAGGGAGCCGAAGCAGAGGAGGCTCGCCGCCCGACGCTGATGGGCAGGAGGGGGAAACCCGCGATGTTGGCCACCTGCGGGCGGGAGGAGACGCCCTGCCGCCGCCTGCGCCACGTGGCCTTTGGCCGGTGACGCCGCCGGCGGCGGCGAGGGAGGAGAGCCCGAGGCGAGGAGATGGAGTAGCGGAGGCGCCCGGAGTTGCCCGCGGGAGCGACTCGGGGGTGCTTACCCATTAGGTCAATCTAAGTGGACATGTGAGAAATGTACTTATGCTTGAACAAACATAACATCCATTTCACAACATAGCTCAAGTTATAATAATGGCTGATATCTTTCTGCTTTAGAATTTCCAGCATCTCTCTCTCTCTCTCTCTCTCTCTCTCTCTCTCTCTCTCTCTCTCTCTCTCTCTCAGCCATATATCACTTGTCGTCATTGTTTACTATCTGGATCTTAACTTATAGTTGCAATTTTGTAGGTAGTTAAGACTTGGATGAATCGGTTGGAGGGATCGGATCAATGGGAGACACAGTTGGAGCAAGTGAGAGTATGCATTAAGATAGGGATGGAGTGCATTGACTCAAACCCAAAGAAGAGACCAGTTGCACACCATATAAATAATAGGTTTGATAATATGACAAGTATCGTCGAAACTGGCACCAGTAGTTCATCAGTTGAACAACATGTTGGTTTTCTAAAGGAACAGTACTGTCAAGAGATAATGGCAAAGCTTTCGACTGAATACCTTGGAAAGGACATCAAGGAACATGCTGAAACAGAAGAACTTGCAGAATATGTTGGGACACCTAAAGAAGATCGATGGCAGCAAGGTCGAGAAGAAGTTCCAGGTGATCAGTGGGTAGCGCAAGATAAAAAGCAAAATTTCATCCCACCACAAGGTGCGAGCATTTCTAGCTCTAGCTCTGGTTTGCTTTACAGGTTGAACAATTTGGACATCTTCAACACAAAAGCACGCAGGAACTACGTGCGGTACCGTGGGCCTACATTGGAGAATCTAAGAGTTATTAAGATTTTCAAAAAGGGAGAGCTCAAGCCATTTTTAAAGGACAAGAATTTGATTGGAAAAGATGGCTTTGGAGAAGTTTACAGGGGACTTGTTTTTGATCTGCACGTCATAGTAAGGAAGTTGACTAGTGGTCGTGTGCTAGCGACAGATCAATTTGTAAATGAAGTCATCATCCAAAGTCAGGTCATTCACAGAAACATCGTTAGGTTTTTAGGTTGTTGCTTGGAAGTTGACACCCCGATGCTAGTCTATGAGTTTGTCTCCAAAGGTAGCCTCGATAACATTCTTCACAGCAACAAGGTGCCTCTCAGCTTAGATTTGCGTTTACGTATTGCGGAAGGATCATCAGAGGGTCTAGCTTATATTCATAAAGCATTTCCTAGGAAAATCTTTCATGGCAATTTCAAACCAGCAAAAATACTCTTGGATGACAATTTTATGCCAAAGATCTCAGACTTTGGCATGACAAGGATGTCCGGGACAGACCACGGACGAACCGGAAGAATTGTTGCTGACATGGCTTATACGGATCCGGTATATCTTAAAACAGGCCTGCTAACCGAAAAAAAAAAGAGTGAATTCCGGTTTTTACCCCCTATTTTGACATTTTTGACACCACTTATCCCATTTAGCGGAATTTCATCCATTTTACCCCATTTAACAAAAGTTCTGCCACGATTTACCCTGTTTAAAATTTCATGAGTGTTCTGGCAGACAGGTCCCAATTGTGAAGTCTAGCTGGCATGCCACATCGATGGTTTTTTCATGCTTATTTTTCTCTCTCGTGAACCAGTCCTCACGGCTTCTCCCGACCGGACCGGCCCGATGGAGGTCACTTGCGTCTCGTCCAACGCATAATGCCTGAGTCGACCACACTCCTTACTCACGCCTAATAGATTGCATCGCTCGTCCAGGCTTCTGCCCACACGTACCCGTCAGGCTCGCTCGAACTTATGGTTAGGGATTGTCAGGCAACGACAGCGGCATGATTTCATACCTCCTCGAGCGGCGTTATATATGGTCGTGACATCAAGGCAAGAAATGACCCCGTGGAATCCGGCTCCGTCAATCTCGCCAACGTCTGGGCGCGACATCAAGGCAAGAAATGACCCCATGTAATCCGGCTCCATCAAGCTCGCCGACGTCGGCGTGGGCGCGTCCATGTACATGCCCCCATCAGGTTGTGCTCGGTTGCAGATCTATGGAGGCCGCTCGTCCAACAAATCAGCGAGGTTGGTGAACAAGCAAGCCCTCACGTCATACCCCATTCCACATGATTTTGACCATCTCCATCATATGTGTATTATGAAGTTTTCCTGACTCATGCATTGGCCGGTGAGGCGTTTGATTCAGACAGAATTAAAATGCTTATTAGAAGATCACGTGTATACATATCACCCATCTATAACTGACGTACATTGATTTAAAGTTTTTTCACCATTTTGAATATTGTTGAAATCCTTTTTTTTCTTTGTTTGCAGCGTGTGTGTGATTCGAAGGAAGGCGAACAATGTGTGCTATGAATATTGGAGGCCAGAGTGGTGCGGCCCAACTTACGCCTTGTGCGTTGGACTCGAGCGACCTGCTCTGGCGATCATATCAGGCCAGCCCAGTCGAGCGAAGCTGCGAGGACTGGTTCAACGTGGAGAAAAATAGGTAGGTAAAAACTGTTGATGGGGCATGCTAGGTGGACCTAACAATTGGGACCTGCTCATCAGAATGCTCGCAAAATTTTAAAATGGGTAAATTGTGGCAAAACTTTTGCTAAATGGGGTAAAATGGATGAAATCCTGCTAAATAGGGTAATTAGTGTCAAAAACATCAAAATAGAGGGTAAAAACCAGAATTCACTCAAAAAAAATGATGTCTACAGTTTTGGAGTAGTCATGTTGGAGCTCCTTACTCGGAAGAAGGCCACCCATGCTAATAATAACAGCTTAATAAGTAATTTTCTTGAGAATCACAAGATGGGGAGGAAATCAACTAAGCTGTTTGATAAGGAAATTGCAATGGCAGGAGATTTGGAGCTTCTTGACAATCTGGCAAAAATTGCCGTGGAGTGTCTTAACCTTCACGTGGACGAAAGACCGATAATGAAGGATATTTCAGATCGCCTTTCGGCATTGTATCAACTCCGTAGACAAGTTGGGAGTTGACGTGTTGAAAAGCATTATCGGATTTGTTCGCTCTGCTTAGTTTTCTGGCGCTTAACCCTTGATTAATTACCTTGTGAGGGTCTATGTGTATACATTGATGCTGGCCCATCCCATCCTTGTGATGTTAGAGCAGCACTACAAGGCCTTTAATGCAAAGCCTGATTACTTGTTGCACTGTGCACTGTGTACTATTTAGTGATCTAAACGCTCTTATATTTCTTTACAGAGGAAGTTTGTCTATTCATAGTGTTTTTGATTAAGGCTGATCAGCTGATGGACATCACGTTGCCAGCGACCGAACCATTTGTCTGAATTCGTGTGGTGATACAAACATTTCGTCAGTATACTAGCAGCTGAAACTATTTCTGCAGTTGGTAGTTTCTACCCCCACTCTTCTGTAAAATGGTATTGTTTCTTAGGACTAGTGCTTGTCCGAACTTTGCACAGGTGCAGCACGCAGCAAGCAAAAGCACGGCAGAACAGAGGCATACAACACAGTGAGCGAGATCTAGGAAGAAGCATACATGCCCTCCCTGCAGGTTCTCTTATCTTTGCGCGGCATGCGGTTGTGAGCAGTCAAACCAGCTGTGCGACCCTCGATACATGCATATGAATTAGCGCTGCGATATACCAAAATTACGCCTTCAACGGCGATGCTGGAGAGAATAATGGAAGCTGATGTTCTGTTGCCACCCAGCTCCTGGGAAAGGAAAATACTCTTCCTCTTCAGTTCACGCCACGGTTCCTACTCCCTCCCTCCTGTTTCGAAACAGGGCCCATACTTGCTCTTGGTTTTTTTTAAAGGAGGACGACCCCGGTCTCTGCATCTGGACGATGCATACGGCCACTTTATTAATTATTGACACAAGACCGTACAGAGTCATACAACAATAAGTCTAAAGCCACCAAACTAAGCAACAACTATCGCTATCCCTATCCAGTTGATGTAGGGGCGCTGAAAGTCTGGGCCTAATACCAAACAGACCACGCAGCCAAACCTAAACATCTAACGACTTGAGGTCCCACCCAGGACGCCTGCCGGGTATGGGCACCCACCAGTCCGGCGTGCTTCTCAACCAGGACCCCTGCCGGGTATGAGGCCGCCACAGCCACCTGCCACGAATTCATCTTCAGAGTTGTACTGTTGCATCAACCTTGGCCGGTCCAACTGCCGCCGACGCCACCATGACGCCAGGCAGCGTCACCCTCCTGCGCGAGTCCATCTCCGCTCATCAGGCGCCGAGTCTCCACTGCGCCACGCTGCCGAGATCCGCCGTCATCAATGGAGCAGATGAAACACCGCTCCTCCTCTTGTCCCCTCCAACCAGCACTCGCTCCAAAACGATGCCCCCATGAGGGAGAACGATACCGATAGCACCGTCATCGTCCGATCTGGTAGACCCAGATCTAGGGTTTCCCCCGGAACTTCCCGATCAGGTTGATGAGACCTGCAACGACGATGCCTCCAGAAGGAAACGACGTCTGAGATGCCGCCATCGTCCGCCAAGACCACAATCTGGCGCAATTTTCATCGGAAGCCACGTCTTCCCGACCTCGTGGCTGGCTGGAACCGAGCGGAACCTCGCCACGAAGACGTATGTTGTCGTCGGTACTCCGGCGGAGATCCAACATCTCCTCACCAGTCCCTCCACGCGCCGCCGGTCGGCGAAAGGCCTCCCCGCGACGGATCCAAACGGGGCGTTGGATTCGCAGTAGCCGTCGTCACCATCACGAGCAGGACAGCCCACCTCGCTGGATGGGGCGCTGCCGCCGCCGCCGTCCATGCAGGACCGCCGCTTCGCCGGCGATGGTGCTCGGGCCCCCGCCGCACAGCCCGGATACTCCGTCCTAGCCGCCGCCGTTGGATCTCATGAGAAGGGCCGCCCCCAACGCCTCAGATGGGATCCGCCGCCTCCCCCCGCCCAGGACCTTTGGCAACCGGCCCGTCGCCACCGCAGCCCACGCTGGCGGCAGCGGCGGCAGGAGGGGATGGATGGGGAGGTGCTAGCGGCGCTAGGGTTGGGGCCCCTGGCGTCACCCGGGGGGAGGCGACGCGAGGGGTGCGGAGTTAGGATGCCTGCGAGGGGTGCCTACAAAAATGGGAGAGAATTTCACTTTCCGGCCTCGGCCATTTTAGTATGAGTACCAAGATAAACATGGTCCTCAGATTTTTTTTAAATGAGTATCAAGATATTTTTTGATAAGTGGTTTCACCACACACCAAACTTGATTCTCAATAAACGGGGGAAAACCCTTGTGCATCACCTGTCAATTCTAGGAATTGAACTCGGGTCGTTAGGCTGCACAACTGCATGCCCAACCACTGAGCCAAGGTACATGGAAAGATCCCTTCTTTTGAACCAAGCAGATTTATTAGATACCTGTAAAGGGAAAAAAAATACTCCCTATGCATGGATCAAAACCCCTTTTAGGCTTCGTTTGGCAAGGGCGGTTGTCCAGTCTCAAGGGGGTCGAGCATTGTAGGGGATTTGATGATTCCCTCCCTTTCACCCAATCCCCATTAATCCCTCCCCCTTCCTAATTCCCTGCATTTGATTAAACTTGTTCGATCTCAGCATCTCACACGATCTCCCCCTTGTCCAGTTCCACGAGTAGGCCCTCAGGAGTTCAGTTTCCACCAAGGGCGCCCCTGTGTCTCGCCTATAGCGAGACGTAGGCAAGCCTCACGTGAAGGCCAACGCGAGATGCGCCGGCCTAGACACGCCAGAGGCATCAACCTTTTTTTTTTCACTTTCTGTTTTAATTTTTTGCTTTTTTACTTTTGTTTATGATTCCAAATATTCCAAATAAGTATACTACAAATTCGAAATAAAACATGTGAAAAAAAATTAACCAAGCAATTGAATTTTTTTAGGGTGTATGGAGAAAATGCTTCTCACATATACGAAAAATGTATGCAAAAAATATAATTTTTTATTGAAAGGAATTGATCAAGCATTTGAAAAAAATGTCCAACATGTTTTTAAAAAAATTCAAGCGGGCATTTGAAAAATGTTAAATGTGTATCTAATTTTTTTAACATGTATTAAAAAAGTTAATCAAGCCTTTGAAAAATATTTAAAATTTGTATAGAAAAAATACTTGACCATGTAATCGCCATATGTCTCACTTATAGCGAGACGTAGGCAAGACTCACGTGAAGGCCGACACGAGATGTGGCGGCCTAGACATGCCAGAGTACTCAACCTCATTATGTTCACATTTTTTTGTTTTCATTATTTGTTTTTTTCCTATGTTTATAGTTACAAATATTCTAAAAATATATTACAAAATATTCTAAATTAAACATTTGAAAAAATGTTAACCAAGCAACTGAAAAATGTTAATGGAGAAAATGTTTCTCACATATACAAAAAA